CTTCGATCGGATATACAGCCATAAGACAATTTCTAAATTTATTACGTCAGCGATAATTACCAAAATGCGTGAATTTCAGTAACGTAAATTCTAATTTGTACTTTACTTGTATCAAAAAGAAGTGGAAATTCTGACAAGCCAATTTACGTCAAGTCAAGCTTTTACTTTCATTCTTCGCATTTTTTATTCGCATTATATGACAGATTGAATCTCTTACCTTAAAATCGAGCAATGCGAAACTCCTCTTATTTTGTCGAACGGTTGCGATATATATAATAATAGATATGCGTTGCCGTGGGTCTATAGTCTTTCCATGAACAAAAGACAAAGATTGCAGATCGACATTGCAGTCGCGACGGAGATTTCTCCCGAAATGCTTTGCCAAATTGACGTGAAGTCGACGCGTTGGTGCTGAACTCTGAAGTCGCGATGACCTCACCGCCGCGGGCCGGCACCGCCTGCCCGATCACACTTTTTATAACGAGTCGTATAAAAAACACACCAACCACGACCTATGCCAACCGCCGGTCAAATACGTAGTTTGAGCTACACTAATCGCTCTAGAACACCTAGATTTTCGGTGAACATTCTCCCGATACACAGTTTGAAAAACCGCTTTCATTTACACTAGGGACATTTGGGACTAGTGCACGGGACGGTAAATTAGGTATGCTTTATCGAAATGTGTTGAAAATTTCTTCAAATTATAATATAAAATAAATATTTATACATATTTGCTTTTTCATTCATTTATTTAGAGTAAGTTCATAATTAAAAAATTGCAGTTTCATTGACAAAATGATGAAAAAGTTCCTGTTGCGCTATAAACTAACCGTGGCAAAAATTACGGCAAGAATATTCATCGCTCAATTATAAATATCGTTAGACGCTCTCCCAGCGTTAATATGAGCGATGATCTAGAAGAATAGTGAATCGCCGATTTTAACAAAGACTGTGTAATGATTACCTACAAACGTACGCAGTAAAATAAAGTAACAGCCTATAATATATGTCCCACTGACGAGCAAAGGCCTCTGTACTGAGGGTATTAGGGCATAGTTCACCACGCGAGCCGACTCCGGATTGGCGAACTTTACATATATTCTAAATATTATTTTTTGTTACAACTTCGAATATATTCGCAGGTTTCTTCATTCACCTCAGAGCACGTGATAATTCAGCTCCTTAACATTAAAAATTTCATTGGTGCCGGCATCGGGATATGAATTCAGGCTGCCCCAGTACGGCACTTACGTACGTAAAAATTCTTCTCCGTCCGCGCAATTTTCGTAAAAATTGGTAGAAAGTTTTTCCTACACATATTAATATATAGATAATGCTCAGGGATCGTGCTAAGCTTAAATCCGACCATGTTCATCAACAAGAATTTTTAAATTAAGATGCGAACTTTCAATTGATGCAGCTTTCAGTGATTTTTGTATTAAAAACAAAGGGCCAAGTGCGTGTCGTGTCGCCACTTAAATATTTTTAATTCTATTTTTTTAGTATTTGTTGATAAACCGGCAACAGAAATACATCATTTGCGAAACTTTCAACTATCTAACTATCACTATTCATGAGATACAGCCTGTTGAGAGTCATAGTAATAGGGGTCCCTTTATACCCTTTGGGTACGGTACCCTAAAATTACCTTCGTTGTCTCTCTATTGAAAGTTGACTTCTACTCTTTGAACCGTGATAGTTCAGTGTCCAGGCGCTCGTTTTTAATTAAGTACCTACTCGAGCAGCCTAAGTTCCAATACCTGTGTCGCAACCAATAAAATAGTTAATTGAAATTTTAAGTTAGTATCTTTTAAGTTATTCTTTTTTTATTGCTTATTTATCACGACTCAAGGGCGAAATATACATCATTAGAATATGAACATATTTTCAAAATAATAAAGAAGAATATTTCTAAGATAATATGTGAAGTCTCAAATGTATTGGCATGCTTCCGACCCGCTCTGTACAGAGCCGGACTATGGCTATCAGTGGCAAATCCATAAGTTATTAATTTACTGTAATGTACAATCAGAGTTCGAATTTACGGAAGTCTCTAATATTTTTGAAATAATAAAGTTCTCGACGTCTATGTTATAAAATGGTGTTTAATTTAGTATTATAATCAACGCACTACGTAGGTGAGTAATTGTGATTATGTAAATTTATTCCCTGTTTACGATAGTGAAGCTAATCGTATAGGTGGCTCGCAATAATGTTATTAAAGAAGCGGGGGCGTTACGTCATTCGCTAGCGGCATACGCGGTCGAACGTGAAAAAGAGTAAATCTATTTGCATTATCAACGTCGAGCTCGGAACAATGTCGCTATCGACGAACACGAGGCAAGGTCGCGCCCAATGTTACGCGTACTACGGGCCTCGACCGGCGGTGTGCACAGCTGTCGGCCGCGCGCCGAACATCGCGTACGCAGCCTGAACTCTTTCGTGCGTCTCCATCCGTTCCGCTGCGATGAATCAGCGCGCGCCGAAATCTCCGCGATAGGGAACCAGGTCCCGCTGTGAACCATCCCGCCCGCGCAATGTTTATCACGTTAAGAAATATGGGGCGCCTCCCACGTCCGCGAAAATGTAAAAAAAGAATAACGGCCAAATTTAATCTTTCACTGACATCCTCTATTCTTTTTTAAAAATTTTGTTTGCACAATTATGCAACAGACAATTTTTGTGCCGCTTCCTCAGTTCACTTTATATTACTCACACCAGTTGTAACTGTGCAAATGGAACGCGATAATGCATAAAGGGTATTACGCAGTTGAATCGTTTGCCAGTGTCACACTGTAAGGGGTAGATAAACTTCGATGGTTGATTAATTAACCTTGCATTACCTTTCTATTTTAGAACGTTCGACTGCTCCGGCTGGATATTGTCGTAATGGTAATGACCCGCAATCATGTGTTTCGGGTCGGGGAGCGACCCCGTGCCCGTGGAGGTCGTAGCCGGCCGGGGTTAACACACTTTGTCTCCGATGGGCTGCGTTCGACGAACGCTTTAGGTCTCCTTTTTTTCTACAACAACGCAATAACACCCGTTTACCTTTACAAAAACTCTCGCATCCAACATTTTTGTTTCACGAACCGGTTCGACGACTTAAAATCGTGCACCGCGGCTAAACGGAAATTAAAACGTGAACACCAAGTACGGTAAAGTGGAATCATTGAAATGTTTACAATTAATTTTAAGACATTGTTAAAAATGTAACATTAATGTTGTATCCAGTATCAAACAGAAAAAGGGAAGAGATGTCAAAAGGGTTGGGATGGTTAACTCCTTCGCCAATATTTGAGACAAGTCAATGGACGTGCACCGGTGCATAGCGATATATAATGGAGGTCTTTGCCACTGAAAACCTTAACCTCTCGGTCCTGGCGTTAACAGCCGAAATAAATTAAACTTGTAATTAAAATTTAACAAATACTGGCATACAAATTCACTGCCATGATATACTGCATGTTATCTGAGGTCACATTAAAAGTAAAAAAAAAATATAATGCCAAATGGCACTGGCTGTGAAATATAAAATAAAGCAAAGTGCTGACGTCAGCTGTTTAATACACGTGACAAAATTTGAACAAAATGCGATTCGAACGCTACTGCGTTGATCGTTTGTAGCAAACGTCACGGAAACTATTTGTATACACAACTGCTCACTTTTGAATAGGTTCTCGTCACATCCGAATAACATAATTTCATCGAACACGAAATTCGAACAAAAACAACCGACGTTCACACTGTCATTCCCGTTGGTTTTATGTCCATTGTCTTCGTAACGTAAATGACATTTGTTATATTTAAAAAAGTTCGAACTTGTCGGATTTGTAGTTTTACTTACCGATTTCAAACTTTATATTTCTTATCATCGTCCGCCGCCACGAACTGCAATAAACGTTATGGTAAGTTTAGATTATATATATGTACAGACGCAAGAACCAATTCTTGCACGACACTTAACTGTCACCATCTTCAACAGCGTGAGTCTGTCCACTGTGTTACCTCCGTTTGGATCTGGTGGATCTTCGGCTCTACCTACCATCTGCGGAGTCGCTCCCTATAATGTCTGAAGCCGACGTAGCTATTCACGTCGCTAACGTTGAAAAATTTAAGTTGAAACTTAAAAGTTAAAGCGTAATTAAATTTCTATCAAAAACTGAATTTAAATAAAATGTCAAAGGGCTTGGGGTATATATCTTATTAGCCAAAATTCGAGACAGGGAGAATGGCCTCCCCGATCGGGGTGACCGGCCAGGTGATTGAACGATCCTAAACTGTGACTGATGACTTACAAATTGGGATCTACATTCTAAAACTACTACTATTCTGTATTCACACATTTGTGAATCACATTCATCTCGTACCGTCCGCTATGTGATGGAAATTATATAGGTTACATTCAATATCAAATGCTAATTTTGTCGATTTCGCTGCGTGAAAGGCGGAAGCAAAGATAACTTCGTGTTACCTTGCAATGATCAATGCATATTTTAAGAGCTCGCAATTGGCATATTTTAACAGTAGATTTCTTATTATTATTTCTTAGACCGAGGCGCCAGTCCATAAAAAATATACAGCTCCGACAAATTGTATAAAAATTCAAGGTTTAATATAAAAATGCATTTTTATTGAAAGTAAAGACTTGTTTAACCTGTACTTTATATCCTTCTGCATAAGAATATATAGTATGAGATAGCAAAAGATTCTATAAAAAAAATTCGTTAATTTATTGAACTTCTAATGTCCTCAAAATCTAAACTTCGCATATGAAAAAAAATACATTTGGGGCTCTGAGTGTAGCTTTAGCTATAAATGAACGCATTTATTCATTATATATTATTTATATGTATTCCAAAGTTTTTGAAAGTTAATGTCTGCAAGTATTTTTGATTTTATTTTGCGGGGACATCTTTGTACTGAGGAGATATTTGGCCAGCAGTGGGACATACATATATAGGCTGGTACTTTACTTTTACTTTTTTTTTGTATAGGTCACGCAAGCGCGGCCCAAGTAGCTCCTGTGACCTGGGCTACGGCGAACGCGACGACCAAATGAACGAGTGCAATGCTGCGCTGGTCCTCATGTCGCTCAGCTGTTCGCCCAACTCCCCAAGACCAAGTAAGTTAAATTTTGTAGAGAGAGAATGTGACAACGGTGCGGGTGGACCTCATGTTGATAAACTTGCCATCCTCGAGTATCCGCAATTGATATGTCGTGTTATCAACCCTTTAAAAGTTAGGCCCCGGTTACCTTAATCTTTAATAAAAACTTCTGAAGCTACTGCGTGTTACAGTAAAATCTCACAACTCATGCTACCGTTTCTTTCCTATGGTTGCATACTTTACGTGATTTTCGAAGTGAACACCTCTTTAAGCTTTGAAACTGCTTTGTTACTTATAATCCAGTTTGCACGTGCGCACTGGCATACGCAATAAGCTGCTAGACAAGATTGACGCAGGTACTTTGTAGTGAATTACGTAAAGATGGACGATTGCCACTCTTCGACTATGAGTGTTGTGCTCAACAATTACACAATCACGTTGCTTTTATACCATAAATAATATTTAAAATTGCATTTGTCACGGTAATTTAAAATACAGAAATATTTCTCATGTAAAAACTTTGTATGGAACGCGAATTTTGAGTGTGTTGTAATTTTTTAATATGTCGAGACCGTTGGGAGAGTTTACGTTTTTGTGTTAAATCTACGTGAAGTTGATAACGTCTAGACAGCAGTCTAGACACCGTCTAGACAGGTGTTCGGTGTAACTTCGCTCTCGTATTATGAGCTCCGACAAAATGCGATCCACTTATTTGGGTACAGAAGCATCGAGAACGTTTGTGAAGGTATAAAACGCTCCCTTCATTGTTATTCAATTTGTCTGAATCAGTGACCTGTTTCACTGCGTGTCTGCGTTTACGTCTAATCTTTGTTACTGTAAGCTTGCGTCATAATGTGAGAAGAGCTGGGAACGTAAAGTGTATTAACGATTAAATTTTTTTATGTTTTTGATACAACAATAAACTTTTCTTCTCTTGAATCATTTAATGCCTTTTTGTGTTTTGCAATAATTGATAAGAAAATTAAGAAAGAAAGACTGCTATTTTTTATCTGTTCCGAACGCGGATGCGTTGATAAACACATTACGTAATAGTGGCATTGCTACATTCCTACAGACGTCAATAGTCGTAAAACTACGATTCATCCTCAGAGGCCAGCGCGAGAGCATGCATGCCGTGAAATAGCCGCTCTTGTGAGTGAAAGTGGCAAACCATAGATAGATCCGTTTCGTAATTTACGACTTAAAAAAACCATAGTGGTATGCATATTAAAAGTCGCGTATAGGATACTATAATAACATTTACCTATTAGGAAACTTATACACGCCATGAAACTGCATTTCCATACAATTTGTCGTATTGTCCTTTCAAGGAAGTTAATCAAAGCCACTTTAAATAAAAAAAAATAGAAATAAACGTAATTATGAATTGTATTAAAAAAAAGTAATCACAACAAATATTGACTATAACTCGAATAGGTTCAATGCAAATTCTTTTTATTTTAATTTTAATGAAATTATTTAAATGACTTAAGAAAAGCTTTTACACCGACATTAGCATTGTCATAAAACTTTGTAAAGTAGTAGCTAATAGACTATGATGAAAAATATTATTTGTGCATAGTGACATATTTGAGTAATAGTTAAAGGAAAATTTCATTATTATCACGTGCTCAGCGGTGAAGGAAAACATCGTGAGGAAACCTGCATATTTTCGAAATAATAACAAAAACAAATATCGAAGATATGCGAAGTCCGCCAATCCGCAGTGGGGCCGCGTGCTGGACTATGCCCTGATACCCTCTGTACAGAGGAGGCCTTTGCTCAATAGTGGGACATGTATAGCTTGATACTTTACTTTTTTTACTTTAAATGAAAATAACTGGATTAACCAGGCGCATGGGGTGGCCGGTCTTCGGTGTCACCAGGAGCCAGCAGCAGCTCAGGTTCCTCCTGGCGCTCAGGCACCCCTTCACCGCCGCCAGTATCCTCTTCATTCAGCGACGAGGGTATCGCTATGGACTACGAGGAGTTGCATCCACGCAAGAAAAGGGTAAGTCTTTTATATGTGAAAATAAACCACCATTACAGATTACAACAACACAGTTTGTAGGTGGGTTGACAAACATTCGAAGAGTGTACTCACCTGGCAAATTCCAAGAATACTAATACCTAGTCGTCCTGTACGTCGGTCTTATTCGAAAGCCTTGGTACTTCCCTAAACTAGCCTGCCGCTCCATGAGCTGCTAAGTAGCCTGAACAATGCGAATCTCTATCGATCTAACAGCACACCAGGCGAAATGCAAGAATACAAATACTCGTGCTATAAGTCGGACTTATTGGAGGCCTTGGAACTTCATCAAACTAGCGTCCCCATATGCGAATCTTATCCATCTAATCCATTCCACATCTGGTTGAATGGAGGGGACAAAAATAAAAGCAATCCACGCACTACTGCAATAATTACGCAACATGAACATCGCTCGGGGCCCCAGCTCGCTTGCCTAGAATTACATCTAACAATGCGTCTAGAGAATAACAACTTCCCCGCTAGGAGGCCGTTCATTTCCTACGCTCCTGAAACGGTTTTGCATCTATAATTCCGCATAACTGCTCAGTTCCTTAGTACAGCCTATAATTACAACAACTGAATTGATACTATAGCGTGGGCTTCTTCGAGCTTAGAATGAATTGGTTTAGAATGGTATCGGCTTCGGCGTCGGGGGTCTTGGGTTCGATTTCGATTTTAAATATATAGGCTCATACCGAGGTATTATCATCTTCGGCTGCAGCTGGCAGTTTATTAAATAATAAATAAAAACCTTGCGATCATGCCTTCGAGCACAAAGTGACAATGTTGCTAGAAAGGTCCGTATGCAAAAGAACATCTACCATCAACCGTAATGTCGAGTGACGCCACTATCACGTACCACTTTAGTGTACGTGTGCGAACTACCGACACAATCAGAAGCCATCGGCGAAACCGGCCACGAGCTAAGTAACGGAAACGCACGCGCATTTCAACATGCTAACGGTCGGTTTATCTTCTCTCTATGGCAGAGGCGCTTAATATATACTTTATATAATAACTAGCGACCCGCCCCGGCTTCACACGTGTGTAATCCATTCTAATATTATAAATGCTAAAGTAACTCTGTCTGTCTGTCTGCCTCGCTTTCACGCTAATACTACTGAACTGATTTAAATGAAATTTGGTACACAGATAGTCTAGAGCCTATTTAATTGGAAAAAAGTGTTGTTAAGGGTTGAAGGTTAAAGAAAAATTTTATTTAAGGGCTGCAACGCGAGCGAAGCCGCAGGCGAAATGCTAGTGAAAAAATCTTTTTGCATTTGATATATTGATAGGAAGGTTATAGTTATAGGGTATTTAACATCACGTTTCGACCTACAGGAGCAAAGGAAAAACGTTTCTCGCGGATTTCATCGCATAAAACAGCTAGAGTATCTAATAATATAATCAGAAGGGTATACTTTAGAATAGATGGCGGTTTAGGAGCCCGGTTCTGATGTTATTAAAATTTGTTTGCCTCTGTTAAGAACGCGGGTTCAGTACAAGAAGTACGAAAGAAGACGCAAACGAAGGCGCGGAATGTCTCAAAACAACTGCTCAAGTGCCTATTGAAAAATTATCTATTTTTAAAAAATAAAATAAACATGTATTTACATAGTTTTGAAAGAATGTAACGCGGGGCAACTCGTTGAACGTGCTCGACCACCGCACCAGCAGCGGTTTCAATTAGACCATGACACGAATCGTGCTCGCTTTCAGATTCTGCAAATGCGCGTCAAAATGAATTATTTATTGCACATGGGGTAAAAGGTGTGACGGTGCGACTTCGAATGGTTTCTTTTACAGCCGTCGATCGCTCAACAATGACTTAGTTATTGCGCTAAAGTAATTAATGCTTTAACTCATTAACACGTTACACTCATTACTAATTGAAAATACCGTTTCTTACTCATATAGTTGCCGGTGGGCGATGGATTGTATAAACGTTTGACGTCTCAAAGGAAAATAAAACTATACATAATTATCTGTATGTCTTTCGAAATTGTTAAATTTTTAAACTTATTCCAGTCTTCTTATTAATTATGCGAAGTAGACTAAATATGTTCACAATTCGCAGTTTACAAGTTTATTGTTTAATCTCTTTGTTTTTATTACTCTGTGTCAAAAAAAAGGCGGTATGCATATATTAACAGGTACAATTTTAAGGTAGAGATCTTCCATCTTATATTATCAACTCCATTGTTCCAATGATGCTTCATCAATTGCAGTTTATTAACAAAGCGGACGGCATACCTTTGCACGGTGCAATCTAAAATGCATCATAATGATTAATGGAGATGACTCAAAGTGCGGACTTCAGGCTTAATACGCCGCGCTATCTGACATTTAGCAAATCCTGTTGTGTCATAGCTTAGAGCAGGACCAATCTCACCATACTTTGTTATTTTATTGAACGTCCTGTTAAATATATTAGCTTCACGGTGCACTAATTATAATTAAATCAGACCGTTGCTTTAATCTGTTCTGTATCAAACGAATAGTTTTCTATCAAAATGCCATTAAGTATGATTTTATCTCAATCAACAAAATTAAAAATCAGCAGATTGTGTTTGAATTGCATAGACCAAATAATATTTTCAGTTCTGGAGCTTGCTTGAAGCGGAATGTATTATGCTACCCAGTTGAAGAAAGCTTACGTTTACGTCAATGACTTAAAACAGTAAAATGACGCTCTTTTGGCGGTTATAAAATTTGAGTAAATATTTTGAAAATCATTCGATTAGCGTCGATGTAACGATGATGTTATATTTTGCTATAGCACATATCCTACGTGCTAATTTTGAGTCGATGGCTGATAACAGATAATAATAAAATAATAAAAAACCGACTTCAAACAAAGGAAACTAAAAACATTGTCAGCACCTAACATATGACATTTGAGGATTTCCCTCTATTTCTTTGGGATGCCATCATCAGATCCAGGTTTCCTTATCATGGTACCACCCTTAAAATATCTCCTTTCCAAAAAAAGGAATCATCAAAATCGGTTCATAAATGAAGAAGTTATCCGCGAACACTCATAAAAGAAAAATATATATACGGTCGAATTGAGAAACCTCCTTCTTTTTTGAAGTCGGTTAAAAAGAAATCTAAAGCTAAGCAATGTTTGCCTATTATAATGGTGAATGTTACCCTGAAGCAGGCAAACTGTATTGGCCACTTTCACTGGGCAAAGCACCTGTTCTCCGACGCCGAAGGCCATTATATCATAGCTGGGTAAACGGGCAACTACTATTCCTGGTTTCGCAAACGCATCTACATAGTTATTGTAGAGATTTATGAACATTATTGCGCAGATGCAGATTATTGTGAAACTCTACACGAACAGCATGTTTTGCTGGACATCTATTTGAATAAAAAAACAATATTGCTGTTTAGAACAGATATAAAAGTTTACTTTACCAATGTTTTCTTGTATAATTTACTTTCGCTAGATAAGAAACTTTCTGACCTGAAACATTGTTACTGTTAGTTGTTGAAAAAAGTAGGTAAAATCTACTGCATTCGGTATCGTCAATTGTTTATTATTGTTAATAATTATTTTTATACATGTTAATGTATAATTTTTTGTTCCTTTTATACACTTGAAAATATTTTTTGAACAAACCTACGTTCTACAATAAATTTTTGGTACGAACCAAAAATAGTAGGTACTACATATTCAATCCTCCGAAATTTTATAAGCAATTATAAACTAGACGTGACCTTTACTCAAAACCCGTCGATGGGTATTTTAAACAACTGGTTCTATACGGTCTTTGTCCAATCGGTCCGTGCACGTATCGCGCGCCGTTTCGACTTTAGTAACGTTCGGGATCCATCGTTCGGGCGATGGTCGAACGTTAAACGATAGCACCGGCGAAACGCGCGTACGTGAACGTTATGTGTGTGCGTTATGATTTACGAACACGTGCGCTCGGTTCAGTGTGTCGCGCAATGTCAAGGCACTGCTCAGCGGCCGTCCGCTTATGCAACGCTATTGTGGAATCGTCGTAAATATATTATTGCAGCGAGCACACAAACGCACACCCGGAGAGACGCAATTAAACATATCGATAATGACGCTTATCTCGGGCGCTAAACAAACTCAGCAGCTGGCGGCACACCCGTAAGCTGTGCTATGGGAATATCGTAAATACGTAAAATAACACTATCATTTAAAATTTATTTAGCTCATTTTGGTTTTTTTTTTTTATTTTGTTTGTCAAAGATGTGTCAGCAAATTTAACAGAATATCACATATGAACACGTTTACAAACAACGATAATTTATTTTTTTATTAGTTAACATCATCCATCTATCAATCGATTTTTTTATCAGTCCTAACACCTCTGAAATTCCTCTACGTAGTACACGATTTATACATATTTATCGGATTTCTGGCTATTCAGATTTACGAAAATAGACTTTTTAGATATAAGATTAGGTTTCATTTCTTTGTTTCACTTAACTATTAGTACATTTCAGTATTGCACGTGCATAACTCTCGAAGACAACTTTACTCAGCACATGGGTAATGTCGCTGTGATTTTACGTAACCAACAGCATAATAAATACGCGCCACGAGAAACAATAAAATCGTACGTAACCTTGGAATGAATAAGACCAAATCTCATATAACCGAACAAAGTTAGAAGCTTACATAATCGAGTCGTTGTTCTTCGACAGAAATCGTAAATATAGGTCACATTACCGTTACTAACAGTGAATTTTTGTTCGTAGCGTCGTGTTGACTTACTACAACTACGCATTAATCTTCCAAGTGGGAACAAGAACGCATGTAGTTCGTGTAAAGAGCTTTGACACGTTGTGTATACATGGTAAATAATACGTTAGATCATTGGAGACATAGGTACCTTTCTAGCTTTAGCTTCCTGATAATCTAGTAAAGTGATTTAAATTTGAATTCCACACTGATCTTCTTTGCTTACAATGCATAACGACCGCACTTAAAGACATCA